ATATATATTTATATTAACGGGTTAACAGTTTATCCGATAGTAAAATTGAATAATCCGCCCCCAAACCGATAAGCCGTTAATAATAAAATTTCAATCCATTCCCCATCCGTTAAATCGATATTTCGTTACCAATAAGCGATTAAGCTACTTTTGCAGTTCGGTTTTCGATTTCGGTTTGATTTTGAACACCCCTACCTGCAGCTGTATCCTTCTTGAATTGTACTCCCTTCGGTCCATCTTAGTTGGTCATGTTTTTCTTTTATACGTTTTTTAAAAAATAATTAATAAGATGGGCTTTTTGACTACAATATCCTTATTTATATTTTTAATCGTTCAATATATTAATCACTCTTCAATAAAAGTTTTCTCTATTAATCAATTTTTTTTTACTTTAAGGACAATTAATGCAAAGGGTAAGACAGGGAAAATAATAGATTATACCTTGATATTCTAAAATAGCAACTATTTTGGATCAAATATATTTAGTAACCACGATAATTAATATGGACATAAGGGAGCAGTAAGGTATGCTTAGGGGTGTACATGGACCGGGTTGGTTCAGATTTTATCAAAACCAAACCAAATCAATTATATCGGTTTGGATTGGTTCAATTTTGTCGGTTTTTTCGAATTTTTTTGTTACATGAATATTATTTCAATCTTGCATTATTAAAGTTATAGATAAAATTTTAATAAGTGAATATATGTTTACTAAAAAATTTTAAAAAAAATAACAAACATATGATCTATTAAAGTGATCTTATGGGAGAATTTTTTTTAGTAACACATAATAGTTTATTTTCTTAGTCGTCTACCAATAATTTTTGGTTGATGTACGCTTTTACGGTTAACCAAATTTAATAATTAAACATAAAAATCAATATGATACAAAAATAATGATATATTTTATGTAATTTTAGATTATCGAAATACCACTTCAAATTCGAAAAACATAGTATAATAAATCTTGACATATGAATATGAAAGAACAAAAAGATGATTGACGCATTTCAATAAACACATAATAAGAAAGTGATACAAACTATTATTTAAAGTAAATAAAAATGAATGCACTTTATAGTTCTATTAAATATTATATCCCATGAGAGAATCTCAAATATTTTTAGATATTTTTAAATAAAATTCTATATAAATCTTAAAATTATATATTTATATGTCGGTTTGGTTCGAATTTTTTTACTCAATACCATATCAAATCAAATCAAACCTACTCGAATTTTTTAATCGGTTTAATTTAACTTTTCAGTTTAATACGATTTTTCGTTTCGATTTGTACGCCCACCACTAGTTATGCTTTATCCTTCTACTCTGCCATGGCCTGCATGATAAATAAATGTGACGCGGGAAGGTTGAGATTGGCATCCAAAACTAATTATAGAACGTTTCTATCTGTTTTACATTCAATCTGGTCCTGGTCAGCTCTTTGCTGAAAGGTGGCACATAAAACAAGACAATTCTAACATTCAATTGCCGCCTTTTCTGCCAACTATTTTACAGTCTGCATGTTCATTCCTCCCTCCAAATCTCAATTTGCAGTACGTTAAACAACGAACTGATACTAAATTCTAACACAAGCTTTAATTAGAATCATGACTTAACCTTAATAAGCCAATTTACTTTAGTGGATAGAATTAAATCCACATTTTATCGATATTTGTGACATGGTTGCATGCATTAACTCACTATTGCCACTAACATTAACATATTCCATTTCTAGAATAAGGTCTACAAACCTGTATATATATAAACTTGTATGATATTGAGTACTTTGTACAGAGAATGGACGCGATTAAACTATTCGAGGAAGAGTAAGAACACACAAAAAACTAGTACGATAGATTCAGATGAAAATAAACATTGTTAATCTAAGTTTGTTAGCCCTGCTCTTGATCAGTTCAACAGTACTATTAGTGGAAGCAAGAATTAGGAATGATGAAGAGAAGAGAAGAAGCCAGAGGAGAAGTACAACTGTAGGAAGCAGTAGAAGAAGAAGCAGTGGCGGAAGAAGATCAGGGTCTTCATCTTCACCAGGTTGCGATCCTTTATATTCATACCTCTTTGGTAATTGTGGTCAATGGCCTTTCCCTCTTAATTCTCCTAACAACCCCTTTCAGCAACCAACCCGGCCTTCTCCCTTACCTCGCCACCGTACTCCGCCCCTCCGTCCTCCGCTTATACCCTCTCCTCCACCACAAGTTCTACCGCCACCACTTATCCCGTCGCCGCCGCCACTCGTCCCTTCACCTCCAATNCGCCAGTTGTCTCCTCTCCTCCACCGGCGGTAACACCATCCCCACCACCAGCCTCTCCTCCAGCTTCACCACCACCAGCCTCCCCTCCAGTTTCCCCACCTCCTCCATTAGTTCCATCTCCACCACCACCTTCTTCTCCTCCGCCAATTCCACCACCACCTTTAGTTCCATCTCCACCTCCGCCAGAGTCTCCACCATTCATAATATTTCCTCCACCACTAGTTGCTTCGCCACCTCCACCGGAGGAACCTGTCTTCCCTTGGTTATCCCCTCCTAACGCAGACACTCCAACTTTTCCGCTATTTTCTCCTCCACCTTTAGTACCCGATTTTCCCCTCCCACCACCTCAACAACCAGATTTTCCACCGCAAACTCCACTTGTCCCCATGTTTTCTCCACCAGAACAAGATTTTCCCCCAGCTACACCACTTGTCCCCATATATTCACCACCTCCATTCTTTACTCTTCCGCCGCCGGAACAAAACTTGCCTCCAGCTACACCACTTGTCCCCATCTTTCCGCCATCAGACGAGCCGCCAGTGATACCTGATCAACCACCAGACAATTTTCTGCCGTCACCGTTGATTCCTGATCAACCACCAAACAGTTTTCTGCCATCACCAGTGATTCCTGATCAACCACCAAGCAGTTTTCTTCCATCGCCGGTAATACCTGATCAACCACCAGAAACTTTTCTGCCATCACCTGTGGTTCCGGATCAACCACCGGTTATTTTCATGGCACCACCATTGGTTCCTGGTGTACCAGAAAGTTCGATGTTACCACAACCTTTCATATCAGCACCACCAGTCCAACCGGCCGAAGCGCCGCCAGTTGCAGTTATTCCGCCATTTGAGCTTCCGCCTCAGCCGGACTCGCCACCATCCACCTGATAGTTAAGTCTAATTATGAACTCAATTTTAAAGGTGATTGATGCTGCCCCATAATTGAAGCTGCATGGTTTTTCATTATTGTTTCATTTCCTTTACCGATTGTAGTAAATTACCTGCTTATAATCTCTTATGCTACTGTAAAAGATTGCTTTATTTTATGATTGCTCATTATTTTGATAACATGATCTTTCAAGTCATCAGCTGGGCAATTATCCTAAGAATCTACATGTTCTTTTTGTTTTTCCCCGTTAAGAATCTACATGTTCGTTTCACTTTACAAATGACAAATTCTGGTCAATTTAGTACATTTAGTTTGAATTTAAGTAAAGAACAAAGTTTAGCTTTAGAAATATACTGTTAATCGCATTAATTGCCGAATTCAGAGCAGAAATAAGAAGGCCTCTAATTCGAATCTAGGCCTAGAGTAGAGAATCGAAATTTTTTGTATAGCAAAGCTCATGGAAGAAAAATCTGGAGAAACTTTATGAGATTGATTTTGAGACCATTATTATCTAAGTTAAAAGATATTATTGTTTACCCAAAAAAATGTTTAACAATCAAATTTGTACGCGGTTTAAAGGATACATAGTTTAATTCAATACGAATAATTAAGAATAACAGACAAATGAATTAAAGACAAAATAAACGATCAAACCAATCACAATGCAATGGCCAAGCCTGATCTTAGATTGAACGGTGGAACTCATCCTCGATTGGACCCTCAATACAAGCTTGGCCGCGAGTGCGGAAAAGAACGGATGAGTAATGCATTGAACAATAATTGAAAGACAAAAGTAAACTTTTATTGCTTTGAATTGCGTGTTACAATTATTTAGACTAAAGAAAAACTTCCTCTTTATATAGTAGGGGAATTTTAGTTCTAGTACAAGTCTAAAAAAGGTAAAAATCTTCTTTTTCCGATAATTGTTGATCTATAATTGATACCGAACGGGATTCGTGTCGTAATATCCGGTTGAGGGCGAATATTACGACTCCTATCTGTTATGCATAATCGTTTACCGCGTCTCCCGTCCAGAATCTATACTTGGTCCGGAGTACGTCGCTTTACCGTGTTCGATCTCAGATACATCATTTATTCTTCCTGGATATCGATACGAGTGGTTCCTGGCCTCGATTATAATCACATCGAGCCGTGCTTCCCCTTTGTTCTCTCATCGGGAAATCGAAAAAAACTTTACCCCCGGCTATACCTCAAAACATAATATACAAGGAACAAAAGATATACGACCCCGAAATGAAGTGAGGCTCACCAAGTCAGCTGGGAAGAGGGTGTACCGCTATCACTTATCAAAGCCGTTTGCTGTGGAACCACCTGCATCCATTAAAGATGCAGCGCCCCCGGCAAAAGGGACGTTAATACATATGGAAACACCCTATCAATAGAACGAGTAATAAAATAAGGAAGAACAATCATAGAATCAATGGGAACCTCAAACAATACCAATATATCAAGTTAAGAGCAAGATAAGGTTTCAAGTAAATTATATTATTTTAGGTTGGGAGATTTTTAGTACCCATATAACACCGTGTCTTTAGCACGGAGTGCGATCACGGTCCGATCGGCTAGGATGTCTCACCCAAAGACATCCAATCACAATCACAATCTCAATCACAATCTCAAGCACAATCACCACCATGTATGCGACATGACGTCCAATCTTGACCCGACCGGCTAGGCCATCTCACCACAATGCCGTGTGGATTGACATAACCCTTTGCTAGCAATAATCTCATCCCATTTAAGGGGAATAATCTCATCACATCAATCTCATCCCAAATAAAGGGAATAATCACAATCCACTCCTATACCGACACGTGTAGTTTCGGGGTTAGGTTATTTCAATCTACCCTTCCTCGGTGACTAACGATACTCTCAAATGTTTATTATATAAAGAACTTTCAGCTAATTTCATAGTCTTTTACTCATATTTTCATTTCATTGGCACTAGTGGCCACAAATGTAATATCATTCTTGGCACGTCGGCCGTATTTCATATTTCATGTTCACCCCTTTCACTTTCAAACATCATCATGGATTATCAACAACAAAGCATCTCTAATCACGAGTTTTAGTACACATATGAGCAAATAAGAGTCTTAGGCACATTGATCTTTCTTCCACAATTTGGCATAATAACTAGCAATTGAGACATAATTGAATTCATAATATTCCGACACATGGTCACATTTGAATACAATCTTGAAGGATAACAAAATATGATAAGAGCATTCGGAATACGTTTTGAACATATATCTTTCGACACCGAGTTTATTCGAAATAGTCAAATTTATAAGGAATAACTGGAAACATGAGACATAAGAGCTTGAGCCAATCATAATTATAACTTACGAGGACATCATGGATTCGATTCAACAAGAGGAGTTTAGCCAACATACCTTGCTTTGAGCTCCCTTAAGTACTACAATGATCCGGAAATCCTATCAACCTCAATCTATTTGGAAACATAACAAAATTGGACCATAATTAGGAAGATACTCGAGGTTTCAACTCATTTGAGTATTTTATCAAACACTAGGTGCGCATTATATTTTCAAGGTCCTCCTATGGTGGATTCCTTCATCCCACAACCCAATATATACCCTTTTGAGCTCAACAACCTTCCCACAACTTTGTTAGTACATGCATGCATAGATAACACCCCCATACCTAAGAATCACACTCCTCATTACCCATCTTCTACCCCCAAACTCGAAATTGAAGACTAGGGTAAGGAACCTTACCTCTTGGATGAAGATCTTGTGAGTTTTCCTTGTGAATTCTCCAAGTCTTGAGCAAGGATTGATGAACAATTAGCTTAGAGACCCCCTCACTCTAGACCACTTTTCTCTCTCTAAAATATCAGTTAGGACCAACCAAAATAAATCCCAAGTTGTTTTTATAAAAATGAGATCGAGTGAAATTTTTCAAAACATAAACTTTATGAAGCAGGGTCTGCGGTCACAAACCGGACCGCAAAACAGGTATGCGACCCGCAAAGAGGATTGCAGAAAAGGTCCCAAAACTAGGCAGGGCTGGACAGGTCCGTGACAGATCTGCGGTCCGCAGATCAGTTCTGCGGTCGCATAATGGACCGCAGAACCTCCTTTTGAAGTCTTCTAATGCTGGTTCTGCGATGGATTGTGCGGCCCGTGAAATGGTTATGCGGTCGTATAACATACCGCATAATGGTCTTCAAAATTATCTCAAGTTCTGCTTCACTCTGCGGCCGATCTGCAGCCCACAAAGTAGTTCTGCGGTCGCATAGTGGACCACAGAAATGATATGGTCTGCAAAATGATTCTTTTAACTCCACGACGTACTGTTGATGTTAGGCCAAAATGATATGCTTTTAGTATATTACTCACCTTACATGTTGTTAGTTTAGTGGTTAATTGTGCGATGTTTGAGCTAAATTATGTTGTTTTATGTGAAGAAGCATCGGAATATAAAGACGAGTGAAGGTTGCACAAAAAGAGGACGAAAATGCAAGAAAAGAGCACAAAAATGCCAAGTACCCAAATCGTGCTACAGACCAGGCTTCACGAGGTCTATAGCCAGCTTGACCGCGCTACAGACCAGGCTTCGCGAGGTCTATAGCTATCTTGACCGAGCTATAAACTAGGCTTCGCGAGGTCTATAGCCAGGTTGATCGCGCTATAAGCCTGGCTTCGCGAGGTCTATAGCCCGGTAAATAAAAGTCGGGGGTTAAAAGTCTCCAACCCAGATTTGGACTGAAGGACTTCAACCCTAGCCTATAAATACTCCCTAAACATGTCTAAGATAAGATGGGGACATTTTTAGAGCAAATTTGACCTAAAGACAGACGTTTTTAGAGAAGATCCGACCAAAAAGGAAGACGTTTTTAGAGAGAGGATTCGACCCAAGGAGGCATGAACACGCCAGGAGCAAGGTGGAGAATTCTTCTACGAGTTTTTTACTTCCTTTTTTCCTATTTTCATTATTGATTATGAATTCTAGTATTGTAGTTTTGCATACTATTATGAATAGCTAATTTGTTATCTAGGGTTTTGATGGAATCTTTTGTAGGATAAATTCTTGTGATGTTTTTATATAATTGAGCTGTTGGATTTCTCTACTTGTTCAACTATGTGTTTATTGATATTGATTGAATGGCCATCAATTGACTGTGCCTATTTAGTATGTATATTGGTCGAGAGAGAGAGAGAGAGAGAGTACGCATTTAGGTAGTAGTTGAACAACATCACTCCTAACGTATGTGAGAGATCAATATAGAGGGTTTAAAGGCGAGATTAGAGATAACGAAACCTTGGTGCGATCGTAGTGAGCGGTGAATTAGTTCCAACTAGCGTAGTTCGAGAGAATACGTCTAGTAAATTGTGGTAGTTGCTCGAGAGAGAGCTACGACACCCAAAGTACTCACGATCGGTATAGAATACTTAGGCAAAATTATAGATGACGTAGCGGGAAGGATTCCGACAATTGGGAAAATCATAACTCTAGACCTCCTCAATATTTTCTCCAACCCTTATTATCTTTAGTTGTTAATCTACTAGTTTAATTTATTAGTTAATTAGATATAAGAATCTTTATATTTATAACTTAGGAGTTGTTCGAGCTTGTCTTCTTAGTGATAGTCAATAGTTGTAGATAAATCTTAGTTCTATGTGGGATTCGACTCCGGATTCTTAGACCGGATTATATTTTCAGCGACCGCTAGACCTCTTAGGAGGCATAGTTGGGCGTGATCAAATTTTGACGCCGTTGCCGGGGAACTAACAGTGTAGCTATAGGTGTATATATATTTGCTAGGTTGCAAGTTTGTTTTCTTGTATTTGATTTTTCTTATTTTTGTTTTACTTGTTGATTTTAGAAACATGGAATCTTAGAATTATGAGAGTTTTGATGTTGGTAATTCTACTTTTGATCCTCCTTATGCATATTGTGGAGGAAACCACCCATGAAAAAATTATCAAAATATTCCCGAGAGCGAGTTATG